AGATCCGTATTAGGAACTGTTAGGATTTCCAGAGCCGCTGGAGTCTGCAAAGACGCTTATTTTATCTTCCGTTGGGTCTGGATGTCCGTTCGAGTCATCCAGTTTCTTCATCTCTGGGCTATTCTTCGGCTCATTTAATGTTCGAACGGCGACCCCATAAAAGTGGGACCAATATAGCAGCGCGAAGATAGGAACTCGTGTGGCCTCAGTTAAATTTTGTCAGGCTTACGTTCGGTATTTCGGAGAAATTATTTCCCTGAATATCTTAATCTAATAATGAAATGAATGTAGAGCGTGTTGCTCAGTTAAAAAAAGAAAGAAGATAAAAAATCAAAGGTATAATAGAAATAATAAACCGAGGAAAAATCAACCTTAGAAACTGCTAGAAAATAAACACTCTATTATCGGTATGGCATTGTCAGAAAAAGTTGGACAGTGAGCGACTGCCAAAGATGTGAATACCATCTTTGAAGAAGTATATAGCATGTAACACCAAGAATGAATAGAGGAAACTAAGATCAAATGGTGGCACGCGCAGATTTAGATGACTGCCTGGGAATCTAAGAAATGCGGATTAGAAGCAGAAATCGGAGACACTATATAATTACTTCGCTTTATACTGCTGTATGGGATTTTCCGCGTGTCAACTAATGCTATTAGTTCCCGTATATTTAGATGCAATCTTATTTTTGGGGGAAACGACCCTTTTCTTCTCCGCCTGAAATTGAAGATCTTTAGTCGACCATACATGTCGCTAGTGTGTTCCCCATCCAGGTGCAAGTGGGTAGATGTATCTGTAAATATTTACCGTGGCGATTGGTAAAGAAACAGCTTCACGACACAGATTCACCCTGGTATTGACGAAGAAACCACGAAAATACGATCAGCAGCAGCTGGTCGTTAAATTCTGCTCCTCTTGGGGATGAATTAGACCTGTCTAGTTAGTTATCGAAACGAACCACCCGACGGGGCGGAACTAGACTTTAGACCTCCTGGCCAAAATTCACTTGAAAAAAAAATTCTCCCGAATTTCGTCTTTCTTAGCTATTATTTCACGATCTAGAGAACAATTATCAGTTCAATACGAGACCGTACGTTGAAAAAATTTAACTGGTTTTTCGGTACTAAAGGTTATTTGCGGCAGTAAATGTTATGCGAAATTGGAAGAAAGAAAATTTTGTCAATGTCTAAAGAGAATGTTCTGTAGAAGTCTATCGCGAACTTCGCAGTGAAGCCCTCACGAACACTTATCGTGGCTCTTGGACCAATTTCGGCTTCTTTTTTCTCTCTCGTACCAGGGCAAGCAGTTTCTTGTATTCAAATCAGATATAATGATTCCTGAGAAAACCACCTAAGTAAACTACAAATCTTCTGGCAATTAGGAAGCAAGGCCGTCTGTTGCTTGCTAGACGCCCGTGAAATTAAGCACCAGTGTCTTTTGATTCATTACATGTATAAAATTTGATTATCAATTCGATTATAAATTATGATTCTTAAATTATGCTTAAATTTATATTATAATTTTTTATAATAATACAATATTGTATGCCGTTCTTAAATGTTCTGACTCATTATAATTTTAAATATTTAATGAAATAATATATTACTTTTCTTATTTCAATGTCACTCATTCATTTCATGTCCCCTACACACTGCTTCTGGATTACCCATATCATAATTGCACAGAATGATATATTGGTTTTTAAAAATTGCCTTCACCATGTGAAATGCTTCACTCAAAAGAAATCTACTTGAGTAAAATCGTTTGCAAATACAAACTACAACTAATGAGTTGATGAAGATCTTTCATCTGTTGTAATCAAGATCGTGATGTGTATAAGCAAATTTGTATATAAAATAATGAAATAACATTTTCATTAAACTTCGAAGGACAATCCTTAAATGTCTTACAAGAGCTGTTTAAGAGCGTTTTTGGACATTTTTGCGTCGTAAAACAAACCGGACCCTGTTAATAAGTGTATAGGAAACTGAAACGCCGGGCGAGCAGTGCTAGCGCGCACGGCGGCTCCGTGATCCCGTGCCTCTGTGGGACCCGCGGCGCGGGCGCGGGCGGCGGGTGCGGCGGGCGTGGCGGGCGCGGGCGGCTGGCGGGCGGGCGGCGGGCGGCGGGGCGGTGCGGGCGGGCGGGCGGGCGGGGCGGGGCGCGGGCGGGCGGGCGGCGAGCGGGCGGGCGGCGGGCGGCGGGGCGGGCGGTGCGGCGGCGGGGGCGGGCGGGGCGGAGCTGCGCGAGACGCACGGTGCGTGTATCACCCGCGCCCGCCTTCGCTGGACAGCGGGTCGGTGGGCCGCGGGTGGCGGCGAAGGGCACGTGGCCGGGTCGGGATGGCGGCGGCCCCGCCTGGGATAAATCACACCGGGCGGCGTGCGGGGGCGGCGGCTGCGGCCCGGCGCGGAGATGCGCGGAAGCGCAGCATCATGGAGGGCTCCGCCCTCCGCCCCTGAATTAGCCGCCCTAGTTAGAGGGTCTCGTAGTGGGGGCTTGTACTCCATAAAATAATTCTGGTGGCAAGGATGCTGGGTTTCCACCTGGGGCGATGTAGTTTGAATCCAGAGTTATTTAGAGGGGTGGGGAAAGCGGGCAGAGCTGTGTTTCTTCGGGCTCCTCTTTCCCTTGTCGTGTCGCTCCCTAATATGACATCACCATCACAAATATTAGTGAGATTTTATGCTTCTTGACTATCTGCAAGATCTGGGATAGTAGAGTGGATACGAATCTTGCTAATTGAATTATCCGTATTTAGAACTGATTAGATTTCCAGACCGCTGGAGTCTGCAAAGACGCTTATTTATCTTCCTTGCTCTGGATGTGGCGTTCGAGTCATCCAGTTGCTTACACTCTCTGCGCCTATCTTCGGCTCATTTAATAGTTCGATACGGCGACCCATATTAAGTGTTACCAAATATAGCAGCGACGAAGATAGGAACTCGTCCTGCCTCAGTTAAATTTGTCAGCTTACGCTTCGGTATTTCGGAGAAATTATCTTCCTGAATATCTTAATCGAACCGAATCATTCATTAACCTTTAAAAAAGGTAAACCAAACCTTGTTCACGGAATGATTGTTGTCATAATCAGCTGTATATATTTTTATTACTATTTTTTTTTACAAAATGATTTTACCCAGCTCTTATATGAACCGATGATGCTCATATCATTGAATGATTCTGTTAAGATTAAGATATTCAGGAATAATTTCTCCGAAATA